GTGAAGGGGTCAAGGTTCTGCTTAAAGGCTACAGTGGTTTGATGATCAAGATGCAAAACAAAGCCTATAAACATGACTGATCTTCATTCCATTTGGCAAACCCTTCCACAGCCACTTACTTTGTGTCAGGCAATGTTCCAGCCTTTTTATAAGTATTTAGTCATTTAACGAGACTGACAGTCATGACTTAAATGGTACATTGTCCCTCATTCAGTGTTCAACTTACATTTATTGAGCATTACACAGATGAGCAAGGGAATTCATGGAGAAGGTAAGAGACTTATCCATGGACACATAGAATATTCTAGGTTGGAACCCAGAAGCTCTGGCTGTCCTCTCACTCTGAAGATACTCTGAATATTAGAAATTCTTTCAGCTGTAAAAGATAGCCCAATAAGCAACAAATCTGAAGGTGGCCTCAGTCCTGAGATGATGGATTATCCCAGCAACAATTCAGTCAGATATTGGGCTTCTTCTGTCCTTTCTGTTCTTCCATCCTAGTTTCCTAGTTTCATGGCTTGTCATAACCTCATAGGTTCAACATGGCTGCTACACCTTCAGGTAATATATATATATATATATGCCATATATATGTATGTATGTCAAAAATGTAAATGTATCCACTAAATTCACATAATTGTTTTGTTCATCTCTAAGTATGTTTGTTCAAAACTAAAAGTACATTTCAAGGTGTAAAAGGCCAGCAAGATGGCTCAGTAGGTAAAGTTGCTTGCCTCTAAGCCTGACGACTAAGTCTGAGCCTGAAACCCACATAGTGGAAGGAGAGAATCAGCTCCTGCAATTCTTTGTAGATGCCATGGCATGAACATGCCCATGTACACACACACACATATATATAAATTAATAAGTGTAAAATATAGTTTTAATGTACAAAAAATGCCTTCTTAAAATTTATATTAAAAAAAGAACACAATACTTTTTAAAAGGCAAAAGAAACAACTGAGCAGATACTTCACTAGTGATACATGGGAAACAAATAAAATAAACAGGAAAATCTGTTGCTAAAAAAACACAAACTAAAACAGTATGGAGACCCCACCATACACTGATTACTATAGTTCAAATCTAGAACATTAGTGCGAAACATTGACAAGCACCCAGTGCTACAGGAACCTTCTGTACCCAAGATGGACTTGAAACTGTGGTTCAGCTGTCTCAGCCTCTCCAGTAGATGGGATCACAGCTCTGCATCATCTGACTTGGTGAACTTGTGCTGATTTGCTTCTAGACTTAAACCTAGGGCTTCAAGAATGCTAGGTGTGTGCTATGCTACTGAGTCACCTCTCTAGTACGTGCCATAGAGACTCTCAATTCACTGCTAGCTGGAATGATTCGTTCACTTGTCTGGCAGTAAACCTTCAAACTAAACATTGTCTTACCTAAGACTCAGAAACTGGCCTCCTAAGTATTTACACACATAACTGAAAATTTTAATCAACATAGGTGTTTGTAGTAGTTTCACTCCTTGATGCACAAATTTGAAGGTAGACAACACGGCTTAACTCTAGCTCATCTAGACCATAGAATATCCATTGCCAATTTTCAACTCATCAAAGAACACATTAAAGGAGTCATGTGCACTCCCCTATCAGTGGACTTGGGGAGTGGCATGCATGCAGAAAGGGGAGGGAGGGTGGGATCGGGAGGGGAGGAGGGAGGGGCTTATGGGGGGATACAAAATGAATAAAGTGTAATTAATAAAAAATTAAAAAAAAACAGGTATGTAAAGGCTACCTATTATGTGGCTCCAACCATGTAATAGTCTTAAAACTATATAACTACAGAGATACTAAAAGGACCAGCGGTTGCTAAGGGTAAGGAAAAGGGAGAGAACAATGAATTCCCAGAGTGCAGGGGATTTCTAAGGCAGTTAAACTTTGATCCAATGATAGCTGATTTGCAACACTAGGAATTGACCAAGCCCCATAGGCCCACAGGACACCAGTAGTGAACCCCAATGTCACCCATAAGGTGACACTTATGAGTATCACTCAGAAGGTATTAATACTGGTACATAAATTCTAATAAATGTACTACCATAATGCAAGATTTTAGTAATAAGATGGTATGAGAAAAAGCAAAACAGTACAACTCAATGGATTTTTTTTTTCTTTTTTTCCTTTTTGAAACAGGGTTTCTCTGTGTAGCCCTGGCTGTCCTGGAACTCATTCTGCAGACCAGGTTGTCCTCAAAACTCAGAGGACTGCCTCTGCCTCTCTAGTGCTGGGATTAAAAGGGTGTGGCACCACCAGCTGGCTCTCATCGGATTTGATAAATCTATACCTATTAAAAAAAACAAACAAATCCATTCATTTAAACACAAGTAAACATACAGAGTGACATTTACATTCTTTAATTCAGTGATTCCACTTCTGTTATTACTTTTGGATACAGAGCATGCTAGAAGTAAAATTTTACATACAGAAGGAAAGTTAGGAAGTTATGTTTTGTTGCTAACAATGATTTGGATAAAAGGAAATTTCAACATCTAGTTGAAAAGTTATGGATTAATACAGGCATTGCTGGAAGAAAACTATGGATGGAAAAATAAAGTGATTTGTGGGGAGTGATCTACAGAATGACAGACATCAGTTATATAGAACAATTGTTCTTATATTGCAAAGATCCATGATATTATGAATAACTAATATTTTCAATATACTTTCTCAGATATGAGCATTTACTTTGCAGTTCTAGCATATAGAGAACAAACGGAGAGAAGACAAGAATGGATAGTAAAGATTAAGAATCGTAGCTCCCACTCCCCTGGTAGGTCAAATTCAGGGTCAAAGAACTCTCACTCCTCATTCTTCTCGAAGTTTAACAACTTTGGGGGAACTTAGTTACAGCTAGATGGCAGAGGACTGCTTATGTGAAACCAAAATGGACCCACCTGAAGTTCAGGCGTTCATTGCAGACATGGCAAAGTCACCAGATGTGCTGCCTGAGTACAAAGATCAACAGAAAATGTCCATACACAGAGTGGGGGAGATTAATAATACACATACTAGCTTACTCAACCTTTACAACTCCACTTTCTAATTCCTTTCAGGGGAGCTGCAATAGGGAAATACACAGGAAAGAATTAAATCTGTCTTTAAGGCCTCCCAGAGTAGTCTATCTAAAACCTGAAATCTTCCCAGTTGGGGCATTTCTGAGGGAGGAGAGGTATAACTACAGAAAGAAAATGGAGCAGCTGGTATCAAGCAGAATTCAGCCAGGGCTGTGGTGTGTCTGTGTACCCCATGCCCTGTTCCTCAGGGAAGCCCCTGGAAGAAAGGAGTTTCCAGAAGCTGAAATAAAGAGGGCAAGGAATTTATGTGTGAGTCTGCCCCACATCAAGCTATTCCAATCAAGAATCTATGACTCATAGGGTAAGTTGACTTCTTATTGAAAGTTTACCAGTTGTGATTGATTATACATGGTATGAGGGCTGAGAATGTGAAATATGGGGTGGCAGGAGACAACTTGATTTTAATTGACCTACAAGAGATTCAAACAAATATAGTCAAGAAAATCAACTATTAACAGCAGCAAGAACTTCATCATCCTCTAATTTATATCATCAATTGGCCATGTACACTTTGCCACTGAAATCTTCTCCATTCCTTTTGCTCGTGTGTGTGTGTGTGTGTGTGTGTGTGTGTGTGTGTGTTCTAGATACTTAGAGTTCAGAACCTCTAAGTTACATTACTCCTGTTTTGAGACAGGGTTTTGGACTTTAACCCAGGCTTGTTTGCAAATCTTGATCTTCCAGCCTCAACATTCTAAGTGCTGGAATAACCGCTGTGCCCTACCACACCCAGAAAATGTATGGTTTTGGTTCCCCCTCCCCATAAAAAAAGAAAAGAAAAAGGAGAGGGCAAAGTGGCTATTGCATAGCTTCATTTCACCAGTTGGCTCAGCTGGTAGGAAGCAGAGAATGGAAGAGGTTTAGCCACGTGTTCTTAGCATCTTGGTACAGAGAAATGTATTAGCCCATTCATACAGAAATTTACTCAACCCTGGGAAGACATGAGCAAAGTGACTTTCAGGAATGGAGGCACACAAAACCCTCAGACGATGCAGGGTTACTGCTCCTTTTGTACCTTTCATGCCGCTTCATAATGATCTCTCACCTGCAACCACATCATCTACAGACCAAGGGCCAGAGTTTTCCTGCCATAGGGCAAGGCAAACCTTTCCTGGTGAGGCAAAGCCACCTTAGGCATATGAAGACAAGCCAGTGACCCTTGAGGTCCTGAGCTACAAAGAGGGGGAATACCCCATGGCTTAGGTTTCAGGAGAGAAAAGCCTACCCATGAATCACAGTGGTTTAGAACTTCCTCTGGGCTATTCTTGCAGCTCTCTGAAGGGCTTGGCATGTGTCCCAATGGCCTAGAACACCTGAAGATTCTCTTGCGAAAGAAGACTTGCTGGGCTTTGATGGTCTCTCAAGTCTTGTCAGAGACTCATGAAATGACCTATCAGCCGGTGAGGTGAGACTTGAAACACCAGGTGAAATAGTCACAGTGAGTGTGGTTTTAAACTTCCGATGTTATTTTGGCAGATGTTTTACCCTTCACCATACCAGACACATGTTCTTTCTCATATACGGGTCCTATCTTTGAATCTTTACGTTTGTGTTTTTTAACCTGCAGGAAGTATGGAAGCTGGAAAACTAGAAGGGGCCATCAGGGACAACGATGACTTAAGGGAGGGTGGCAAGTGGAGCTTAGGCAATATGGAAGTAGAAAGGGGGGAGAGCAAGAACAAAGCAGAGATAGAGGTGGGGAATGGGGAAATGAAGAGGCAGGGGATGTGAGAATTAATCAAAACAAGGTTATGCAAAAACCATATGGAAACCTATCACATTGTAAGTCAATTAAAATAGTTAAAAAATTAAAGGTTTATATCACATATGGTTGGATGATGCTACTTCTAAAAGCAATGTTTTTTTTTTCATTTTTTTTTACATTTCTCAAATTTATTTTTTTTTATTTTTAAATAATTTTATACATTCACTTGTATCCCAGCTGTAGCCCACTCCCTTTTTCCCTCCCACTCCTCCCCTCCCTCCCTCATTTCCTCCCTGCCCCATTCAGAGTCCACTGAGAGGGGGTGTCCTCCTCTCCTTCTGTCTGGCTCTAGTTTATCAGGTATCTTCAGGATGGTTGCAATGAAAGCAATGGTTTTTTTTTAAATGAAAAGCACCATGACTATGACAGACGTGAGATCCATCACTATGTGTTTCCTTGTTAAGGAAGCTCTTGCTATTGGTTGCTCACCAGAACTAGTCAATACTAATGCTGAAGATAACACACACCTCAGTAATGACATGAAGATAAATTAAGCTGTAAGTGAAGTGAAGTTTTCCTTTCTGTTGGATAGCTTTCGTATTGCTGATAGGTGTTATACAAGGTGCTGAGAAAGAAAAAAAAAAAAAAAAACATGTTTTTTTACTCATCTGTGACTCCCATGAACTACAATATCAATCTGCTAGTTGCACCTGCTGGTACAATTGTGGCATGACTGATATATCGCTAACCAACTACTCCTGACTGAACTTGAGACCTGCTTCACAGAGGTCCATATCACTCAGGTCTTAGGGTAGACAGGGAACCTTCCTACAGTTATTTATTTAAAGTGACATGGAGTCCAACCACTTTTTAAATTTATTTTTTACCTATTTATTACAATGTATTCACTTTGTATCCCAGCTGTAACCCCCTCCCTCATCTAAACTAGTAGGTAAATGCTATGCCCAGCATTAATCAGAGAAGCTTTTCTTTGCAATGAACTGTGATAAATACAGATATTCTTGGTTTCAAAGGGTTCTAGGAATACATAATGGCTTAGTGCTCAGGAGAGTTATAGTAGTACCCTCCTCTGTGACTCAGGAATGTCACAGAAGATGGAATGAAAAACATGTAAGAGGCAGAAAACACAGAAAAGTGCTGTGAATGCTATTGTTACGGCATGACACAAACATTGAATCATGATTGCACAGCAGCTACAGTTGCCTATACTGGCCCTTACAAAACTGAGCTATCATCAGTCAATCATGGATGGTTTAGAGATTCTAAGGACCCATATCCTATCCTGCAGAACTCCAAGAGAAGGGCAGACATTGTGAAGAGTCAGGTAGTCACAGTGGGTCCACCAGGCTCCAGCCAATAGTTGGAAATTTGTGGCTACAAAGACAGACTTGGTTAAACAGAGTGGGTCACAAGGCAAAATAAAGACACGTAAATGGAGAAAGGAGTTTTGGGAAGGAAGGAGTTTGACAAGAATTGGAGACATAGAGAATAGGGTGGATATGAATGTAAAAAGAATATAATATGTAACATTTAACCAAACTTAACAAACCAAACAAAAATTCTTTATCAATGATGGCAAAATATTTAGAAAGAAGAGTCAAATATAGAGGCAACATTTTGGGGCTTATAGTAGACTATGTGCTGTGTCAGCTAAGCCCGGGGCTCTGGTGTCTTTCCCCATCCAACACACAGTAGAAGGACAGTGACTGAGGTATTTTGCAGGTAAATTTTTTGTACTATGGAAGTTCTGTTATTCTTCCTAATACTTTCAAAAGGCTGCCTGAGCCCACTGTGCAGATGAAAAATACCGTCCAGGGAAAGGAAATTATCCTAAGTTATCATGTCTACTCTTATGGAATAATTGGGACACAAAGGCCTAGATTTGGGATAAGTGATATTTGGTCTCTCTGGCAAGCCTCAAACCTTTGCATAATTCTGTTTGCTTCTTTGGCATTATCCCAAAAGTACCTGACTGATACTGATGAAATGTGGTGTAAATACTAAAGGATACTATGGCTAGCTGATCAAGTTACAAAAAAGAAGGCATCTGGAAATAGAGTGACTGAAAATACCGATAGAAAAGCTTATTTGAGGGCATGGGGAAATGCCTCAGATGATAAATACTTGCTTTACAAATATAACAACCTAAGTATTATCATCAGAACCCATGTGAAAAATCTGGACATGGTGATAGAAGATTGTAATCCCAGTGCCAGTAGGCCAAGACAGGAGGACATGTGGGGCTTGCTGGCCAGCCAGCATAACCTAAGTGGCAAATGGGAGGGAGAGCTGACTACCTAGCTGTGACAGCTAGTAAGTCAGTGCTTAAGAAAAAGCATCCAGGATTGGCATCTGGTATCTCTGTGTGCTATACCCAGGTGAGTGCGTAGCTGCAGGCACATGAATTCATTTGGTTCACATCAAAGGTGGCAAATACACGTAGCACAATGATAATCCGTAACAGCTAAAAGAAAAAAGAGAGGGCTCCTATGTGTCATCAGGCTTGACAGACTGCCGGGTGAGAAACATATACGGCAAAGCAATCTGCTCACAAGTCTGTCTATATGGAGCTGTCTGTGTGCATGTATACGTAAAGGCATAGGCAAGGCATGCAAAAGTGTGCTCCAAAATGATGACAAATCTCTGCAGAGATGAGGAGGAGGTGAAGGTTAGCAAAGATACATTAGAAGTATCTCCATCTTCTTGCAAAGGTTCTGGGGTTTTTTTCCCCCCTAAAATGAATGTAATCATTTAATATTTATGTAACAAATATTTTTGAAAGGAGAAAATCAAAGTCATACTTTGAGGATTCATTTATCCATCTATCTATTCATCATGCAAGCACCTACTATGAGGTAGGCATGTAATGGGATACAGAACACATCCTGCCCACAAGCTGAGTTCTTAACTCTTATGGAAAGAGATGAGGTTGGCAAGCATGAGCTAGGCTACATGTCTGCTGGCACAAGAAGAAAAGAAGATAGAATTAAGAATACAAAGAAAGTGATCTCAGACCAAAGATGGCCTAGAGGGCAAAAGTGCTTGGCTTAAACACTAAGGATCCTGAGCTGTATTCCAGAATTCACAGGAAGGAGCAAACCAACTCCAGAAAGCTCTTTTGACCCCATCTGTGTTATGAGCTGTGAGTGCCTACATGTACTCACATACGGGGAAATAATAAATAAAAGAGAAAATAATTTCTATTTCATGGGAAATGCAGACATCAAATAGAATCTCCACTAAACTATTTTTATGGCTGATGTCTTAAAGCACCATATTATGGCCAACAATTAGCAGAAAGACAAATCTCTACAATTTGGAAGGAATTTCCACTGCCTTTGGCTTTAGTTTGCAAAGAGATATCATGATATAAAGGACAACTTGCAGTTTCTAAACACTTAACCCTATAAACACGGGGTGGCTTTCATGCTCTGTACAGCATTGTGTCTTTGGTTGTTTTTAATCAGCATATAAGGCCAGCCACAGTAGGCTACCGTAGACATGGCCACCTCCAAAACTGCTGTTTTAATTGGGGTTTCTAAAGACGAAGGATGATGGCTATATTCACCTCTGCAGGGTAAAAACATAAAACATTTGAACTGAATTGCCTAAAAGCTGAAATTGAGTGCAAATAATGCCTTGTAGCAATAGCTATAATTAGCCTAATGGAATCCTTTGAAGGTGGAGGCAGTTCAACAAGTGAGTTTAATTGAAAGTAAAATTTCCAGACTAATATTTCATCAAGCCAAATTGAAAGAGGACAGCACAGCGGTGACCAGAGCCCTGGTGAAAAGTGTTGAGTGTGGTGGGACCTGCTCAGGGAGGGGAGGGAAAGTGCTTTCTTCACTCTTCTTTGAGTTTCTATGCACATTTCCCAGTTTCAGGAATCTTCTGTGCCTTCTGCAAAGCGTTTCTCATTCTCTTAGGGCCAATATCATTGTTATGCAAGCCCATCAGTATCCTACAAATAAACAAAACAAATCCAGGATTAGAAGAACAGGGGAAAAGACACTTACCCTGCAACACCCCATTCATTATCAGCTCTGGGCACATTGCATTCTGGGAGATGCACACTTACCTATCAGCTCTGAAGAGCTCAACTGTCTTATAGAATGGCATCCAGCCTGAAGACATCCACCTTTGCTATTTATCAGTTGTGTGATTTCTGTTGAGTTACTTGGCATCTCTTAAGTAGAGATCTCATCTGAGAAAATAAAACAGGATTACAATTATCATCACATACTCCAGGATACTGAGGAAACCGAGCTGTGCGCACAATCACTTGGCACTCTAGACAGTGTCAAGCTCTATGTGCTGTGTGTGTCTGTGTACCAGCAGCATCCTTGTAGCCTTAGAGCCTTTTATTCAGAGAATTCAGCATGGAACAGGAGATGGTCAGTAGGTACTCCTGTGTCTGATATGAGTCATCTTCTAGGTGTTTGGCTTTCTATCAGGTTATCAGGTGAACACTGGAAATTGATCATGTCTTGGAAGCACTGCACTATCTTTGTGGTCAATGCAGAAATTGTGTGTGTGTGTGTGTGTGTGTGTGTGTGTGTGTGTGTGTGTGTGT